GGAAATCAGAAGACACAAGTCCAAGTATAGCCCATGCCTCTCTAGTAGTTCTAGGCCTAACTAACTCCCTTCCCCCAAGCCTCTTGTTCTAATCTACTGGCTCAAACTCCCATCACTTTTTAAAAATGTCAATTCCTTCCATAAGTAGGAATGGAACTTGGCATGGCATCACAGCTGCCATTGACATCCCCTGTTGTCCCAGTCATAACAGGAGGATACAGGTTGGATCTTATTTCCAGATGACATGGCTTCAGTAGTTTCAGAGAACCATCAAAGTTTACAATGAGAAGGGACCCACAAGTGAGGACTTGTCAGGATTCATCAGGAAAAGAGAAACCAACTAGCTATGCCGAGAGTTTAATGCAGGAGATTGAGTATACAGATGATAGGGACCTGAAAAAACAGAACGGGGGCACTGAGGCAACACAGGTAGTAATTACAGGAAGCAAGTGTAAACCCTGGGCCAGGAGAAGCAAAGGGAAGAGAATCTAGAATTTCCTAAGAGGTAACTGCTGAAGCTGGGAACCAGACTTCTGAGTGGGGCCTATGAGGCTGGAACCAATTTCAAAAAGCTATGGAGAAGAACCATGGCTGAGATGCAACTGACAGGAGCAGCAAGCAAACAGGAAGGGAGCAAGGCCTTTCCCCTTCTCACATCCTAGCCTCCCTCTGGGACTCATATTAGCAGAGCTCAACAGGCTGTGGCAAAGGAAGATGTGGTCTGCATGGTCCCAGGCCCATATCACAGGGCAAGCACAAGAGGCTGGGTTTGGAGCTGAGACACTAGTTTACTGACCCGCACAAAGAGCACTTGGTGCCCCTCCCTCTCCTCGTACAGCTGAGAATCTGAGTTGCAGAGCATGTAAGAGAGTTGTCTAGGGCCCCACACAACAGTAGTACAACTAGTACTAACAGGCAGAGGTATGCAGAAATATAATGACAATTAAAATATACTTCTGTAAGGTAGAAAACTCTTAACTCTGAATTTGCTTACATGGCAGAGAATTTATAGATAATAGGTTTATTTAGATGAGACATTTTCAAAATATGTTTTGGCTTGTAAAAGTCATACTAATTACAGTAATTTGTGTGAGTTAATTAATTACTAAGGTACAGAATTATGATTATGTAGCTAATACTAAGGGTTAGATCAACTTAGTTGTTTTAATTACAACACCAAGCATCTGGTCAGATAGGTACACTTTTCATTGTTTGTGTGACGTATCTATACACAGAGCTAAAAAAAAAAACAAAAAACAAAACAAAAAAAAAGGATTAGCAGAAACACTGCCTGTTAGTAGTCTAATGGAGGCAAAGAAAGGAAAACCAATGAAGCTACTAGGGAAAACAAGATATCCAGCCACCTCAGATATGTAATCTTCATATCTCTATTTCCCTGGGACATCAGAAATGATATTTTTTCAGATGGTTTAAGATTACCTTAAAACATTCACAGATAGTCTAATATAGGCAGAAAAGCACAGGGAGTTTGTGAAATTGTGAATCTCAGCTCTGCCACTTTCAAGGTGACCTTGAGTAAATTACTTTTGTTTCTTACTTGTTACATGGGAATAGGGATATTCATTAACTTATTCAACCACTCGCTGAATGCCTACCATGTGCCTGGCTTTGCTCAAAGGGTTAGGGACCAATGAATCCCTGTGTACTCCATGAGCTTTCCTTTGCAATGCTGGAAAGCAGAAAATAAACACATGAATATAGAAAATGTTAGGTGGCAGTGAATAATATACAAAAATAAAGCAAGATAGGCAAGTAGAGAATGATGAGAAGGACCATTTTTATAGAACGCATAGAGAAGGCCTGTCTGATAATGTAACATCTTAAGGGAGGGAGGGAACCATGTGGATATATGAAAAACAGCTTTCCAAACAGTGGGAACCAGAAGCTCAAGACACTGCAGTAGAACGTGCTTAGCAAGGATATAGTGTACAGCAAGGGGTGAGGATAATGGGAGATGAGCTCAGAGATCTGTAGGAAGAGGAGAAGGAGGCAGGACTAGATCCTACAGGGCCTTTTCATCATGGAGATCCATTACAAAGTTTAGAACAGAGGACTGACATGATCTGAATTGTCCAAAGAATCACTCTGGCTGTATGGAAGCTAGACTGTGAGAGTCCAACAGTGGACACAGGGGGACCAATCAGGAATCTGTAATCTAGGGGGGAAAAAAGTGATGGTGGCCTGGAAAAGAGTGTTAGGGGAGGAAGCGTTGAGAAGTGGCTAGATTCAGGTAAGTTTCAAAGGACCAGCCAACAAAATCACTGACTTACAGAGAGAGGAAAAGTAAAGGGTGATCCCAGAGTTTTGGCCTGAACAGCAAGAAGGATGGAGATGCTGTTACTGGAAAGGGGAAGACAGTAGGAAGAGCTGGTTAATAGTGCTAAGCCTGTTGTGAGGTAATAAATCAATGCAATAAATAAGATGATTTTTACAAAATGGTGCATTCTTGGTTCACTGTAGGCATTCAGCAGATCTTAAATCCCCTCCCTATCCTTTCTAACACTTCTTTGTTACCACTTGTTCTCAGAATACATTTAGGTACTACCCACACGTACTCCCACCCTTTTTATTCACCACTTCTCCACAAATCAATATATATAATCAAAACATTTCCACATCAGTGGGAGGGTCAGCTAAACCTCACCCAGAAAAATCTCCAACAGACTACAGAATCAGCAGAGAGAGATAAATTATGTTTTTAAATAAAGAAAGAAAAATATTTGATAACAAAATAACATGCATGGCAATCTTCCTAGTGCCTCGAGTACCTAAAGTGCTTCAGTACCCTAAAAGTTTCTCTGGTATTGGTTGTTTTTTAATAGAATATTTGTGAAGAGGGGCGCCTGGGTGGCGCAGTCGGTTAAGCATCCGACTTCAGCCAGGTCACGATCTCGCGGTCCGTGAGTTCGAGCCCCGCGTCGGGCTCTGGGCTGATGGCTCAGAGCCTGGAGCCTGTTTCTGATTCTGTGTCTCCCTCTCTCTCTGCCCCTCCCCCGTTCATGCTCTGTCTCTCTCTGTCCCAAAAATAAATAAACGTTGAAAAAAAAGATTAAAAAAAAAAAAAAAAAAGAATATTTGTGAAGAGTGACATATAATATTTTGTAAGCATCCTTTTCTTAGTATTTCTGGGAAGAGGCTAAGAAACTGAAAAGTTACCCAAAAATCTATAGAATGCTTACTGCATATATATTTCTTGGCAAAATTTCCTAGTCATTTTTATCCTTTTGCCTAAAATTTTGAAGCATATTAAAAGAAAATAAGTAATACAAATGTTTGTGCACTTGTACTAGGTAAATGTGCCATAGCAATATTTTATCCAAAGCCAATCCAAGAAATAACCGACGTATAAATAGAAGCATCCAGGGGCGCCTGGGTGGCGCAGTCGGTTAAGCGTCCGACTTCAGCCAGGTCACGATCTCGCGGTCGGTGAGTTCGAGCCCCGCGTCCGGCTCTGGGCTGATGGCTCGGAGCCTGGAGCCTGCTTCAGATTCTGTGTCTCCCTCTCTCTCTGCCCCTCCCCCATTCATGCTCTGTCTCTCTCTGTCCCAAAAATAAATAAACGTTGAAAAAAAAATTAAAAAAAAAAAAAATAGAAGCATCCAGTCTAAACATTTTAAAAAATGCTTGGTTCTTTAAAATTCTTTATTGCAGATTCATTTGCGATGTCAGTATTCAGTTCACATATCTCTATACTCTTAAGAATCATCAGCATTTAATTTATGAGTGTTTTTAGTTGGAAAGATTCTGCTGCTTGAAATTCAATTCAATCCCCTTGGTCTGACTTGAGGAATACTTACATCTTGTGTTTTTCCCAAAGCCCTCCTCTATGCTCAATTTCCCATAATTAATAGAATATTTAATCCAAAGTAGAATGCCACCCCCACCACTTCCATACCCCAGCTCAGGAGGGATAACAGAGAATAACAGCCCAGAGACAAATGACACATCTGTCTCAGGGTTGCTACTCCTCTGTCCCCAGGAAACATCTAATGTATGTATGGTTTCATGTATCATTTAAAGCTAGGTATACTGGGGGCGACTGGATCGTTCAGTCAGTTGAACAGCCGACTTTGGCTCAGGTCATGATCTCATGGTTCATGAGTTCGAACCCTGCCTTGGGCTCTGTGCTGACAGCTCAGAGCCTGGGGCCTGCTTTAGATCCTGTGTCTCCCTCTTTCTCTGCCCCTACCCTGCTTGTGCTCAGTCAGTCTCTCTCTCTCTCTCTCTCAAAAATAAATTTTAAAAACTTAAAAAATAAAAAAGCTGGGTATACTGATGGCTTAAGAAATAAATCCTGCAGCTAGCCTAGAAGCAGCTGAGAGCCCACTGTGGGTTGGAAACACACAAGAACAGACCAGCTTACCGGCAAGGAGTGTGCGCCTTGGATGTGCTCATGTGATTCTTCAGCAGCATGAACAGAACTCCCAGCTCTGTCAAGGAGGCATAGGGGCAAACAAGGACCTTTCTCTTGTGCTTGGCAAGTAGAGGCATCAGCATGAGCAACAAAACCCTTGTGGATTTCTTAGGTCTGTGATTCATGGTTTTTAATACTGTGTATGATAGGAACCTCTTCAGGTTCATCAGGGTACCCAGTGAAAAGCCAATGTTTGAGCGAATATGCCAGCATTTAGTATAAAATGCAAAAAAAGCAGTTGGCACTGGCTAGGAGAAGCCCAGAGTTGATTATATAGTCTTTTGTTCATGTTTCTCCAAGCATAACTTTTTTAACTCTTGACAAGAGAAGAAGGTACTTCTTAATACTTTTCTTTAGGTTAATCCTGTAAGACCCATGTTTAAAATAAGTAGCAAGGTATACCCCAATATAGGATCCTTTTAATTTTAGAGACTATTACGTCATGGTAATTGTTAGAAGTAGCTCTACTGACACCTAGTTCATCTTCGTCTAGCTGAGGTGGCCCTACCCTTTGGCTTAGATGGCAGAGAAAATTGGTTTTGACCAGTATGTTTTTGAATTTCAGGAATAGTCGCTGTTCTTTTCTGTGGAGTCACCCAGGCACATTATACCTACAACAATCTGTCATTGGATTCCAAAACGAGGACTAAACAGGTAAAAGAAAAAATTCACTACGGGCTTTGTCTCTTTTCACAGTGTAATGGTTATGTAGCAAGTCTGCCAATGCACTTGGAAAGAATTTCATTAGCGAAGGAAGAAAGTACGCTTAAGGCTTCATTATAGGTTGGATATTTATAGATTTTTTTTTCCTCCAGGATAACCATTAACAATTCTCTTGGTAAGCAAAAATATAGTTATAATAGTCTCTCCCTCCTGAGAAATGTGGAACATAGACTGTCAGTCTTGAAGATGAAAGGCCCACAGTCGGTAATAATTCACAGTCACTTACATCTAAAAGCATTATAAAGCATGTGAGATTGGGTAGTTATACAGAGAGAAGGAAATGAAGAAGAATAAGGAAGTGATGTTTGGTCTTTAATTGGGTGCTTTCGCTACTCCGTAAACTCAGCTGCCAGTTGTCACACTAGCGGAATGTAGCTTCCATATGCCAAAAACACATGTGTTTGGATATAGATTCCTTACACAAATATGTGCTGCACAGCCCCTCTGTGCCAAGCACTATGCTAGGTACTAGGAATAAAAGGACATGGGATATGACCTTGTCTTTAAGATGTTCATTATCAAGTCTGTTGATGAGGGTAAGGATGTGTAATGAACAACTAATTATCCACAGTGTGATATGGACTGTGATAGAAATATCTGTATAGTGTGTTTGGGGAGCATTCAATAGGGCATCGTCTTGTAGCTAGAATTGGGAAGGTGAAGAGAAAGTTTCCAGAGATGATATCTGATCTTAAGCTTGAAATACAAATAGAAGTTAATTAGGTAATCATGTGGGACCTAGTAGGGGGTGGGAAGGCAGTATGAAGGGCATTTGAAACCAAAGTTGAGGGTGGATAAAATCTCTGAAGCAGTTGATCAAAGCACTGTCACTAGTTCTGTGTGGCTAGGGAATGGGGTAAGGCTACAGAGAGGGTTGAAACCGTAGATAAAGCCAGAGACCAGTTTATGAAAGGACTTTCATACCTTGTGAAAGAGTGTTTTGACTTTACCCTAGAGGTAATGGGGAGTGGCTTAAACAACAGAAAAGTATTGTCTGAGAAATGTAGAAGTCTAAGATCAAGGTGCCAGCAGGATTATTTCCTTCTAAGGGCCGTAAAGGAGAATCTGTTCTATTCCTCTCTCTTAGCTTCTGGTGGTTTTCCGGCAATCTTTGTTATTCTTCAACTTGTAGACACATCATCTTGATCCCTACCTTCATGTTCATGTGACATTTTTCCTAAGAGTGTGTCTGTCCCCAAATTTCCCCTTTTTATAAGGACACCAATCACATTAGATTAGAGGCCCACTTTATTCTGGTATAACCTCATTTTAACTCAACTAATTATATTTTAAATGACCCTATTTCCAAATCAGGTCATTTTCTGAGATATTGGGGGTTAGGACTTCAACATATGAATTTGACAAAGGGTAGGGAGTTGGTGTTGGGGGGGTTGGGTGGGGTTCAGCCCATAACAAGAAGTCACTAATGTATCTTAAGCAAAGTAATTTTAGGATAAGTGGTGTTCCATTTTAGAAACATCACTCTGGCAAAGAAGAGGAGCATGGATCAAATGGCATTTGTATTAGTTACCTTTTGCTGTGTAACAAACAACCATACAACCTAACTTCAGTGGCATTCAAAAAGAAACATTTATTTTGCACACATCTGCAGGATTTAAGTCTAAGGTGGGCTTGGCTGGGGCATGTGCCAGTGCCACCTGTCTGTCATTCTTCTCCTAGCAGAAGAACAAGCCCCAATGTGCAAGTTCATTTCAAGCCTCTGCTTGCATCACATTTCCACATCCTACTGGCCAAAGAAAATCACATGCCTGAGCCCAAGGTCAAGAGACTGAGCAGGTCACCAGCCCACAGTGGGAAAGCACTACAAGGTTATATGGTAAGGAGTATGGATATAAAGAATAATGAAGAATTGGACCAAAATATAATCTACCCCAAAATGCAAATGGAGGCAGAGAATCTTCTATAATAAGCTCATCAGTGCTGAAGACACCTGATGTGATATTGGGGCAGTGGGAGTGGGGGAAGCCAAAGTGACATCTTAGCAAAACCTAAATAGGAGTTTTTGAAGATTTACCTTAAAGCTCTCTAAAATAGTTAATTGTTTTCTTCTCTTTCTCTTTTCATGTCCCAAGCTCAGCTGGACCTGACCCTATCTCCTGCCTCCCCAGGGACTCTGCAAGGTCACCCTTCCCCCTCTTACAATCAGAGGAATCATAAAGATACAATTAGAGACATTTTAAGGACCCACAGTTTTTAAAAATGAAGAAAAAAATGATACCAATACTTAGAAACTTCCAGTATAGGAATCCTTTTAATTATAGAGACTACTGCATTCCCTAGGGTTTAAAGGGAAATGCCTTGGGCTGGTTTTTCCTGACCTTGTCTGGTTCTCTGAGCATTTGTATTCTAGGGAACTGAACTCTGGTTAGGGACTCGCACTTTTAAGTCATGCTATCTAGACTGCTCAGCAGAACTTCAAAGTTAACTCATCCCATGGCGAGACAGCAACCCAGCACCTAGGGGAGACAAAGCCAAAATCAGTGCCCCACAGACTTCTGTTCTCCTCTGAATGACTTGACAAGCACTCCCTGATGGACTGCCAACATCCTTTCTTACAGTACTCTTCTCTAAGAAAGGGGATTTTTACAAGTTCATTCTTTAACATCCAGGTAATTGCATCCCTCCATCTTTGTTTCCCCCTTTACCTCCTTGCCTGGGTGCCTGATTCATAGTAGAAACTTAATGAATGCCTTCCTTTCCCTTCTCATACCTTTCTTCATTGCTTTTCTCTCAGGATTTGTCATTTTCTACTTATTTTTCTTTCATAATATATGCATATCTAGCATATGTACATATTTTGAACATACATGCATGCACACGCGCACATATTCTCCACCCTAGTGTACAGTCTGAGGTCACCACTTTGAAAGAAATGAGATCCATCCCTTTAATTAACTTCACAGATAAGAAGTTCTTGGCCACATCTGTAGCAGTGTAGCAAGCGAAGTTCAAACTCCATGTGGGAAACCAATTACAAATTGTAAAGAAAGGCTGAGGCAGGTATTATAGAGGTTACCAGTATTTCCTTTCTGCAACAGGGAAAAATTTGTAAAATATTATATGATAATACATGGTTACAGAGAATAATATCTCTTTGTACCTCCCCACACTATTCTCACTGTCAGTGGGAAAAATAGAAGTTGCACAGGCTCTGTGCCTCTGTCCCCAGGACTGTTTAATGGAAACAAGGGAAGTTAAATAGTAAAGTCTAGGGACAATCTGTGAAAATCAACTTTTTATTATAAAATGCAAAGGTGATATGATTTATAAAGGAATTGTATTCATGGACTGTGGCTGTATCAGCTAATCAAATAGCTATATCTGGATACAAAGACTTTTAAGAATTATATATCCTTTATAGCTTCAAAAATTACAGTGCCTTTTTAAAATTGCATTTTCACTTTATTTTTTTTTCATTTTCTTTCTTATTTTTCAATATATGAAATTTATTGTCAAATTGGTTTCCATACAACAACCAGTGCTCATCCCAAAAGGTGTCCTCCTCAATACCCATCACCCACCCTCCCCTCCCTCCCACCCCCCATCAACCCTCAGTTTGTTCTCAGTTTTTAAGCATTTTCACTTTAAAATATGTTTTGCAAATTAATTTTCACTCCAACCTATGAAAACCACATGTAACATCTCTATGTGTTAGGCACAAAGCAGCATAATAGAGACATCGTTGCTGTTACCCACCATAAAGATTCATATTTCCATAGCAAAGCACTTCCTTTAGGGTATGCACACCTAGCCCTAGAAATAGACAAATACTATAAGCCTGGACTCTTGCCCTAGAAACTGAAAACTGCTAGAGATGCTCAAGATGGACATGAGCACATAGAAGTCTGTGAGCCTCGAGGTCTCACCCTGAACCATCCAGAAGACTGCGGACAGACCCTATGACACTACCCATACAAATCCCAGCCTGCCTCCCGGCCCTTTCCTCTTTCATGTCCTCACTTGCTAAGCAGACCTGGGAGCTGGTGATCTGGGCCAAACTCCAGGGTGTTTCCAAAGCTCTCTTTACTTTGCCTGAGGCTAACTTGCAAAACCACATACTTCCATACCACTCCCTTTTAACTAGAATTTCTCCTTCCCTTCCTGCAGTTCCCACATAAAAATTATTTTCAACAGATACACAAGAGATATAGTATTAATTGGAATAATTAACATGCATTATGCATTAACATGTATGACATACTTTCTTCATTTACTTTCTACTTACCTTTTTACCTAAAAGGTAGCTTATTTTATTATCACTGACTACCTTCATTCATTCAAGTAATATTTTCTGAGGGCCTATTTTGTGCCAGCCCCTGTTCAAGGTGATGGGGTACAAGAGTGAACAAAAAAGAATTTCTAGTAGAGGAGATTTTGTTATAATCAGAATAAACAAGCTAAATGTATAGTGTGCTTATGACAAGTCATAGGCCAATAATAAAGCAGACAAGGGAGTTAGGAGTGTGTGTATGGGAAAGCAGGGTTGCAATTTTAGATAGGGTGGTCAGGAAAGGTTGCAATAAGAAAGCGAAACCTGAAAGAAGAAAAAGAGAGAGTTACATGGACATTTGGAATGGAGCTGTCCAGGAACTGAGAACAACAGATACAAAGGCCACCTGGGTCAAATTGACCAATGTGGCTGAGGTAAAGTGGACCAGGGGAAAATATGAAAGACAGTAGCAAAGCAGTGACAAGGAACAGGTCATGGACAGCCTACACAAGGCAAGGAAACACTGGAGGTTGTTAAGTAAAGGCATGGCATGGTAATATTTAAATTTTAAAAGAATGGAGGTGTCATTTATTAGCCAAGGAGCACTGCAAGATAGCAGGTTTGAGAGACAACTGGTTGTTGACTTGTTACATTTGCGATGTATATTGGTCAATAAAATGGAGCTGTTGAGTACCTTGTT